CTCCTGGTACCATATGTGCAGCCTGGCTTCGCCACTCTGAGCTGCATGTGCCATATGTGCAGCCTCTCCTCCCTTGTCCATTTGCAGCATAGGCAGTCCAACTCCTGCTACAGGCTTCTCTCCTCTTGGCCATCTGCCTACCTTTAGTATGGGGCCTCCTGCCTTTCTTGTATGTAGCTCAAGCAGCCCAGGTCCTCCTCTGTTGTACACAGAATACAGGCACCCTGTGCCCCCCCAGGAGCAGAGGAAGGAAGTAGAAGCTAGAGGAGGGAGTAGGAGTTGGAAAAACCTGGCTGCTGTGCCAGGAACAAGGCAGGGTGGAAGGGGGAACAGTGGTATCTGGGCAGGGCCCATAGGCTGCATACTAACCCTTTAGGCTGAAGACAGACATTTAAAAAGCCCAGGCCTGAATTGATTCACACTGTGCAGGTTAGTCTAAGCTGTACAGCTTAAATTGATTAATAACTGGACAGAGATTCTCTGTTAAATCAGGAAATTCAGCCATGTGCTTGCAGTGGCTCAAGCCAGATGCTGGGAGGTGCTAGAGCATGCCTGCCAGCCACTGCTAAAGGGGCAGGCAGAGAGATGCCCTCCAAGGTTCTCACCCCTCTCTGCTGGAGCAGTGGTGGGGTGGCCAGGCACCAGCTGGGGCTAGCAGAACACACGGGATATCAGCCACCACCTGTGTGGGAGGGAGAGGGCAGCAGTTGCCAAACTGAGGAGTGAGAATGGGGAAAAAGTCCTTTCCCTGAAGCAAGCATGTATTGAACACAGCAATATGCAAAGCATACAACAGGGAACTACCAAAAATCTTTGCCTAAGCTAAGATACAGCCCAGTAAAATACAACATACACATCCTAGTCTAACTTAAAATGTAAACGAGGAAGACAAGAATTAGGTTTACTAACCCTCAGGGCAGAGTGTCTCCTTACAGCCAGGCATTCAGAAAGGCTTTGTTTAGGTATTCCTACCTTTTACACCTTCTGCTCTATAATATAAATGTAGCTCTCTGCATTATTTGGTGAAGCTGTCTGCAGCTTCCCTTAACTACCTCTCCAGCATATGTGATGATTGTCAGGTCTTTGCCAACACTTTCCACATCTCAGCCTGGTTCTGCAGGTCTTAGCTTTGGGCTCACAGGTGCAGGGCTTGGATCTGTGGGGGAGAGAGGACTAGTTTGCCTTTCTTCCCTGCTCCAGGACACTTTTACATAGCACTCAGAACACAGGTAGCAATGAGCTAAAATGACTGTCATGCCATTAATTCACGTGACTGTAGATTTGAGAATGTGCACAAACAGATCAGTGGTTTGCTACTAGGGTCGGTTCTGTCCTGACTTGTCACTCCACTGCCATCACCACCATGTTCTGTGGAATTTCCTGAAGCTATTCTCCCTTGGTGTCCAAATCCTCTCTGCTTGAGGGACTGTTTTTGGTAAAACTGAAAATTTGGAAATATGGTTTTAATATATTAAAAAAAAATCTGGATAAGGTTAAGACAAATGTTGAAAATCTTTGAACCTCCTGTGTCCAGCAAGGATAGCTAAAAAATCTTCTGAGAATAGTGTTTCTTGCAGGTATGTTAACACTTCAATTTCCCATCTTGGCAAGAAGGTGGAAGTGCATGAAAATTTAAAATAATGGAAGAAAAGCAATTAAGCAATCTGTTTCAGACAGAAAAGGTTTGGTTCATATGCAGTTTGAGCATGGGGTGAAGGTTTACATCACTAGCATCTCCTACACTTGACTTGAAGCAGCTGAGAGAGAAAAAGACAAAGAATGAATCTCAGTCCTGTTGGGCAATTTTCAACAGCTGAGACTGAGTTGGTCTTTCTGTCAACATTTTTAGCTACAGGAATTCTGCAAGATCAACTTTAAAAGGACATGTAAAGACATATTCATTTGCACATGGTGTAAAGCCTTATATAGGGTTTATATTGTACATCTGAACTAATGAGCTGTAGAGAATGATGACAATTTTTTTCCTGTTCTTTTAGCTTTCCCCTCGTACATCTTGTTGTAATGAAAGATTGTCTCACATTTTTATTGTGAACTTTGGCTTTGAGCATGCTGTAGAATTAACCCCATCCCTGCCTGGTTGCAGGCAAGTCACAGTGACTGCAGCCAAACCCCCAGGGATTCTGGGGGAGAAAGGGGACAAAGGGAGGAATTAATTCTGTCCCTGCCTGGCTGCAGGCAAGCTGTGGAGGTGCGGCTGGGGCTGGCAAACCCCAGCTGTAGTTCCGTGGGTTTGCCAGCAGAGTGGGGACAGAAGGAGAAATCTGCCTCAGGAGCCCTGGCAGGCTAGTGTCTGGCCACACCCTACCTCAGCTTGGGCTAGAGAGCATTAGGGAGGGTCAGCCCAGCTCACTGGAGCAGACATCAGAGCTCTGCCCATCCCAGAGAGCCTGCCGGGATGCTGGGAGAGTCTGGTTTAACTTAAACCAGCAAGGGGTCTGTGACAGACATTGCATAAACTGATTTAAGCCAAGTCAGCTAAGTCTGGTACTACATTCAACCAGGTTTATCTCAAACTGGTTTCGGCCATTTTCAAACTGGTTCATGAGCGCTGAATGTCTGTTCTGTTACAAATGTAAACCAGTTTCTCATCACTTAAACTGGTTTATGTGTAATCTCTGTCCCTAGCCTTGGGGACTGCATGTAGCCCACAGGATGCCACTTGGACATCCCTGCCCTAGCAGAAGTTTGTCTCTCTTCACGTACTGTATTACAGTTTCTGGACTCCAGCTCTCTGACTTGTTCATCAGGCTACCAAACAACACTTGGGACTCATAACACTCATAACTGATAACTGCATTTGGCTGGTTGGTAGCTCAGTGGATTATAATATAGATCATGGGCGATTAGTGCCTCCAGAGTCTGGGGGTCCCCCAGTGGCTGATCGCTGACTGGGAAGGTCCCCCAGCAGCTGATCACAGACCCCAGAAGCGCCGGCAGCAAAGCTGGTAGTGCCAGCAGTGAAACTGGAAGTGCCTCTGGCACTTTTCTCAGTGCCCCCACTCACCGGCTGGCGCCAATCTCAGGGGGGCACCAGCTAGTGCTTCACTTGGTGCCCGCACTCCCTGACCAGCAAGGGCCAATCTCAGGGGGGGCATGTGTCTCCCCCATGCTTCCCCTATGCGGCGCCTATGATACAGATCATTTGCTGATAGCACGTTGTTTGCTCCCTCTTTGCTACTGCTGCCCACAATGCCTTCTTTATCTCCTCTTTTCCATTACTAAGTGAGCCACCTCCTCTTTCTTTCTTTTAACTCACAAAGCCTTTTATCTACAAGATGTGGTAATCCCCCAAGCATTCATTCATGCTAGTACTCACTCTGCTTTGATATGACCTCAGCTAATTTAAACAATATGATTCATTCTACGCAGTGAGAGGACTATATGCCATTAAACTAACAAAAAACATAGACTTTACATTTCAGTAAAACTTAGATGGCAAGAAAATATAGCAAAAGTAAAATAGGTCCTGAACTTTTATTAGAAACTTAAATCAAAGTGAAACTTTTAGAAGTATCAAAAATGTGGGGAAGGGAGACATGTTTGTTCTTGAATATGTCTCCATGCTTTCTAATGTCAGTCAGAATTTTAAACAAAGGTATAAAATCCTAACTCAACAGTGGGCGCATCTACATGAGACGCTGACTGCACAGTAGATGAATAATATTGCGCAGTAGTGCATCACAGTACTGTTACTGTGACACTCAGTAGTGTCACTTAAAAAGACGGTTACTGGCTCTACTGTGCAGTAACTGCAGTTACTGCACATTTATTTAGTACTTGCTTATATAAGTACTAAATAAATTCACAGTAACTACTGTGCTGTAGCATCTTGTGTAGCTGCACCCAATACTCATAAAACAGTCAGAACTAAGTGGGGCAGCATGTTAAAGAAAGTTTACATCAAATGATCCAATAATTTCTGAACTTAAATAAATTGCCTATCTCTGTTTTTGTGCTCCCTGTGCTGATTTTTTTTTCCATTCCTTTATTCTTGTGATGTATTAATATTTTTTTTAAGGCCTTGCAGTAATGAAACTAAGTACGATGCGTCTGCACCCAAAGTTACAAAGTAAATTAAAAAAAACCCCAACAAACCCATGTAGACTTTTTTCTAAAATGGTTGTATGTGCAGATACCACTAAATCAAATAGCTAATGCAGCAGCTGGTAACCTGAGGGGATATTACACTACGAGTGGCCCTCACAAAATGCATTTTTAGTGGTAATAGTTTAATAAGTACTATCATTTGGAACACGCAGTAACTGTAATCAGTGGTTAATATAATAGCACTGGAGAAAAACAAGACCCTATACTATATGCTAATATAAAATTCAGAAAGAAAGAACAGCTAATAGGCATGACTTGGAGGAAGCAACTTTGTTTACCAACCACAGATATTGAAACATTATTCATATTAGGTGCACAGACAGATCTGGAGTGGGGCTGCTGTTCTACTTCCCTTTCACAGTGAAGGTCAAATGCTAACAGCTCCTTTTCCTCGGGGCCCTGAATGTTTGGGTCCTCCTGTGTCCAAGGCGTGACTAAAGCCCCATGAAGGTAAGGAAGGTGGGACCCACCAGCTGCTGTTTTTGCCTCCAGGGGAAGCCTCAGAACTGCTCCTGGCCCACCCCCACCAGGCTCTTCAGGGAGCAGCTATATGGGGTGCCAGGTCCCTGCTCCTCCCCTTCCACCATGTTTCCCTTGGTGAGGATAAGGATGGCAGCATCAGTGGCACTTCCCCCTCCTCCACTTCCTGTGCTTGCTCCCAAACCATGGTGCACCACTGGTGGCATATCCTGCACCCCTTTTTCAAATTCCTGGATCTGCCCATGATTAGCTGCAATAGAGAAGCAATTATTTCGTGGACACATATGCTTCGATTTAAAAGTCACAAAGACTTATTATTGCCATATAGAATGTCTTCCTACATCATACAAGCCATAAACTTGACCCAGTAATTTTTGTCTAACCCTAAACAGGGGACTGACTTTCTGGAAGTGATATACTCCTGAATCCCAGGGATCAAGAGCTGAAGAGTTGTCACTGTCATAATGTGCAGTTCCGGGTCTTATGGAGTGTAAGTAGCAAAGGGCCCAAAACAGCCAGCTTCTGTTGCTTGGAAATTACATATTATCTGTAAATTCACAGAGATATCCCTTGATACACTGCAGAATTAACACAGCTTTTCTGCAAAGTTCATTTGCTAAATATTGTTAAACAGTGATTAAAAACAAACAAACAAAAAAAATGCAGTTATGGTTGGTGTGTGTGAGAGAGAGAGAAATGGAACTTAAAGTTCTGGAGGCACTCAAATACTAAGAGTGATGGATTAGATCCATACCTTCATCAGTAGTCCAACATTGACCTTCAAGTACAATTTACTTTTTTGAGCACTGCGGGTACTTATGCATTGCAAGCTCTTACACCGAGAGAGTTTTTTATTTTTGTTTTTAACTCTAGCATACCTGCACAGAACACATGCACCCTCTCCTTTCCTTGTGGTCTGTGGTAAGGGCATAGAGAGCATCATATGTTTCCTATTCCTTCAATTGCAGCTCAGAAAGGAGCTTTTGCTTTCTTATCCAGATGTGCTAGACCATTTTTAGTTTATTTTTAAATTTTCTTTTGTTCTTGTCTCTGTTATTTTCCAGTGAGCTCAAAGACTTCCTGTGGTTTCAATCTAAGTTTGTACTCAAATTTGTTACAGAACTTTCACCTTAGTCAGCAGATTCATCTAAATCTTGGAGAGTTGAGGTATCTCTGTCTGTCCTTGTACTGAACAAAGACTTGTCCTTTTACCTTCATGGAACTAAATCTTTCTGGAAATCTCCCCATCTACTTGTTTTCATAGTCAGAATATTAAAACTATCATAATGAATCTTAGATTGCCTCTAGGTGTTCTTTGAGGTTGATAACATAAATCTGTCACTGGTGGTCACAGCTTATTCCACCAGTTTTGGTAGCTTCATGTCTTCCTTTTGGAAGGGATGTCTTTGTTCTAGACATCTATTGTAGAAGGCTTGAATAGATGTTTTTACAAATGGAAGACCCCAATCTCAAACTAATATCCCTTCTTGTATCATTTTAGTCATACGATGACACTGTTTTGGCCTGTTGCATTTAATCCTGCTAAAATATACTTCATTACCTTACAAAAATCTTAAACATCTCTACCAATGTTCCACTGGTAGTATATCTTGCAACTTTTTTTTAGATTAAACATATTATTTACCATAACACCCATATCAGTTTCACTTTTTTCAAACCTTGAAACTTTCTATCATATATGGGAAAAACATGTTTTGTTAAGATGCAAGTTCTGTGTTCTGGAATCTGTGAAACTTTTTTATCTTATTTGTCACACTTCTTTTGCTCAGTTAATATTTTCACCTTTATCTCTTACTTAAATTTCTAAACCTAGCCTCATCAAACTTTTTAGCTTAAATCCTTAACATCATTAAAAATGTATATTGTATAATTTTCTAGACCTCCCTTGGGGAATGGAATTACTGGAATTATTTGTGACATTAGTGCTTTGGTCTTCCTCCTTTTTCTCCCTTTCATTCAGTGTCACTGATTCTCAATGCTTCTGTTGTGGAGAAGAAACTTCCAGTTAAGACTTGAGTGTTGCCTTTATGACTTCAGTGTGAAGGAGAGAAGAAGCTGGACACATGTTAGCTGAACAGGCCTTGCTAGATAGAAATCTCGAGTGCTTGAGAGCTTGGAATGTATATATGGACAACACATCTCAAAGCTACTGTTATATAGCTTCTCTTTTTTTAAAGTATCACAGATCATTTCTACAGATTGAGATTGAAATCTTGGTTGTTAGTCTCTAATAACATTACTTGCATTTTTTCACATTAGTTCTTGTTCATTCTTCATGGCTGAAGATGACCGCATCCAGTGGTGGGGGAAATGGAGAGAAAAGAAATGAGAAAGAAACAGGGAGGGAGAGCAGAGAAAAGGAGAAAAAAAGGAAATAAAAGAAAAGAGAGAGAGGAAAGAGCAAAGAGGGTTGGAGGCTAGGTCGTGTGGGTACGTGGATGACTTATAAGTAAAGGTGCACCAATACATTGATAGGATATTGGATTGGTACCAGTATAAAGAAAACTGGCTGTACAGGTAGTCCTCGGATTTACAACACAATTAGTTCCTGAAGACCACGTCTTAATATGAAATGTTGTAACTCGGAACTGATTTTTCCATAGGAAACAATGTTATAAAGGTGGGGGATTGGTTCCTGAACCCAGGCCTGATTTGATGATTAAGATAGCTACATTAATGTATTTATATTGTAAATAGCAATCATATTGATTTGGAAAGACTTCTTTGAGGTGACTTTGCTGAACTTTTTGAAAGGCTCTTGGTTGGACTTTTTGAATGGTTCTTGGCTGGAGTCTTCTCAGGAGTCTTGGCTACAGGTTTTTCTGGAGTCTTGTCTGCTTTGTTAAAGAAAGTGTCCAAGGAAGTTTGGACAGAGATTCTCCAGGGAGATGGGTGATGCAGTGAACTTGTTTGCTGGCATGGTATTGCACTGACATCAGAAAGTTGAAACAGGGTGTCAATTTATAAACATTGCAAGTGTGAAATGTTGTAACTCAAAACGTTGTAAGTTGAGAACTGCCTGTATCAGATATTGGCCAGTGGAGGCCGATTAATTTGGCTAATAAATGCCTGTGCTGAACACAGGTGCAGCGCAGCACTCGGGCAGTAAGGAGCACAGCCGGCAGTGTGAAGAGATGCTCCAGCTGGTAAATTCAGTATGGTGGAAGGGGAGGGAAGGGGTAGGGGTATGTATGGAGGGGACAGATCAATGCCCCCATGGTGAGGGAGGGGGCAGGTGCTGCCCAGGCAGGGTGGGAGGGGCAGCAGCTGCCATATGTGGGGGAGAAGCAGCTTCGGCCGCTGCTTGCACCCAGGAGAACATGGTGGGGGTGCTCCCCAGATCTGTGCGGGGTGGGGCAGGCTCCAGACGGGGCTGCACGGGGCTCTTCTCCCTGAGGGCTGGGTTCAGAGTGGATGCCAGTGGCATTGGGAGGATGTTGCATTCACCCCAAATTTCAACGCCGCTCTGCTCCCGGCGCTGCCATGGCCAGCTGCCTAGTGCAACCCTGGCTCTTCTCCCCCATGAGCCACAGCTCTGCCTCCCCACCCCACCGGGGCAGCGCCTGCCGCTGTCCCCACCCCCTACCTCACTGCATTGATCTTCCCCTCATGCCCCTCCCCTTGCCTTCCACCACACCAGACTTACCAGCTGGAGGCAGCTGTATCAGAAATAGGATGGGTATCGGCCAATATGCCTCCTTAAATATTGGCTATCTGTATCAGTCACCAAAATCTCTATCAGTGCACCCCTACTTATAAGTTTGATCTTTGCCTTGAACAATCTGCTGCAGCAGGGGCAGGCAAATGATGACGACTGGGTATGAGAGTTTTTTGTTTTCCTGGACACGCATTTCTTCATTGCCTCTGTTATGCGTTGCAAGTTCGAAGGCCAGTGCTCTGTTCTGGGTTAATGACCTCCAGGAGAGATGGTCATGAGCGATTTGCTCCCATGACTCCGGGTCAATGTCAAAACACTTTAGTGACACCTTTAGTGTCCTTGTACCATTTCTTTGGTGCGCTGCAAGAGCATACTCCATTTGACAGTTTGCTGTAGAAGATTTCTTTGGCAAGTGGGTGTTGGACATTCTTGAAAGGTGACCGGCCCATCTGAGCTGCGCCAGTTTCAGTAGAGTATGAATACTGGGGAGAGCTGATCTTCCAAGCACCTCAGTGTCTGAAATCTTGTCCTGCCACTTGATCTTTAGTATCTTTCACAGAAATAACAGGTACAAGAGTTTTAGTTTCTTGACATGACACTGGTGGACATTTCACACGCATTAAGGAGGGTTGGGAGAATGATGGCTTTATCTACCTTCAGTTTCATCAACATTTCAATGCCTCTGTGGTCCCAGACTGACTTTCAGAGTCTGCTGAAGGCCCCACTAGCTTTTGCTACTCTCACGAAGAAGACCAAAGGGATGTTTCAAACTGCACTTGGCACAACACCCCAGGAAACACACATCTCAGTTAAAGGCCAACAACTGTTGATGGTTGACAAGTTTGTCTGTCTAGGCAGCATGCTCTTAAGCTGTTCACATCAAGGATGGAGTAAATGTGAGACTAGTGAAAGCTAGTGTGGCCTTCACAATAGTATGCAGCTGATAAATTAATTCACCATACTGGTGTACCTAGAACAGCTAATCCAGCACAAAACAATGTAGTCCAAAGTGTGGACTGTACTTCCAAAGTATTCCATAAAGCCAACAACTGAAACTTTCAAAGCTGACTCTGGCTTTTAGGGAAATAAACTGAAATGGGAGTTCTGGCTGTGTTTCTCTTTTGGTGTTCAAAACTACAACCAGGGAATTTAATTTGTTAACAGTTGGGCTACTTGCTTGATTTAAGGGTGTTTTGCTATAACACTAGGATACACAAAGTTGGTTGTTTAAATTGTTACTCAGTTTGAAATATAACAATTCTCAAATGTTATCTGACATCTCAGATTCCAGGTATCAAATCTGGGGAGTCATATTAAAATGCCTGTGTTTAAAACTATGCATCTCCATAGTAGTTTTATAGAAATAGAATGACTGAAGGTAGGGGAAGGAAAATCCTTGCCTGTAAAAAAAGTATATCTACATATGTTAAGTATGGAAATTCCAGTTGTTTACCGAAATATTATACAAACTGAAAATGGGTGACTGATATTGCTATTTTTTTTTGTGTGCTTATTTATGGGCTTCGAGACCTGCTCTGCACCTGACACTTTGTACTGTACAATTGGAGCAGACACCTGCTTGCTTGCTTAAAAAAAATGTAACAACTTTAATATATTTTAACCCCCCCCCCCCCCCCC